TACGATAATAATCGCAATATTTATAATAGGACACGATGATTCGAATATTTCTTTTCTTTTTTTGTCCCACCGAACCGAGAGGCGACCGAATTTCGCTCTCCTAAACTGTTAACGGTTTCAAATGAATTCATGGCTGCGCGATGAAAAAATCGTTACGTATGCATTGGATATGCAAATAAATTCTGCTACGGTTTCCGCGATCCGTACCTTTGCTCTCGAGTCCTAAAAATATCGACATGTCCACGCGATCATTAACAGTAATTTCCCAAGCGAATTTTTATCTCAAATTCGAGTCACCGTGGTTGGAACTAGCGTTACGAGAAACCGGCAGAAGTCGTGAGTTGCAATTTTATTACAATGTCGCCGGAGCGATTTATAAACATTTTATGAATAAATATTTGAGGAGAGAGAATTATTTTGGTGAATGTCAGACATTTTTGAATTAGGTATGTATAATAGAGAAGATAGAGATAGGAATTGAGACACACCGATATGACTTTTGACCTTTTGAAATTTTTAAAGTTCAATAGATTATGCAGGATATGTTAGAACCACTTCTTTTTATGTATTCATGTAAAAACTCTGTTTACGTATTCTTCGATCAATTTAAAAGAAAGATATAACTTACTAAGAGAGAAATTTATAAAATTCTTTGTTTAATTGTTTACATCACTAAGATGCACTTATCTTAATATTCACTACTTCTATAATTTGATTTTATATACAACAAAGCGAAGAATGTAACGCATATCTTCTATACTTTTTTTTTACGTATTAACATTTTGAGTGCTAAGTTGATTTTGGCATTGAACGTAATAAATCTAATACATTATTTTAATATTTTATTGCTTTTTTAATGTCTTAATAAAATTTATATTATTTCTTTGATGTCTTAAATTAAATATTTAGTAAAATTATTCTTAATCGGGTAAATAAGACCATCACTTACAAATGGATGATGGGATCTTTGCGGAAATTTACGCGTCACCCTGCAGATGTGAGTGGCATGACTCGTATTAATAAATATCCTAGTGTTAATAATATTTCGACAAAAAATGCAGATCCGTGCCAGTCATTACCAATTACGGGCAGTCATCGGACACATTTTAGTTAAAGTGATGTTCGCTAAAAAAACCCCGGGCATGTCAACTTCCCGCGTTACCCACGCAAAGGGCTCAGCCATATCGTTAATTATTCGCGGCGGTCCGTTGTCCTACGACGTCCATTTCCGGTTACAAAGGGAATCCCCCGTGTATATCTTGTCTGTTTGGATCTAGTTAACTCTTTGAGGCGTCGGTCCCTTTCATTCGACAATAATTGACATATTGTTATATACCGAATTGCGTTGGTCTAACGAGACTTCAACCGTAATTTAACTGTGCATTTGTGACAATCATCAAATTGTTGAATCGTTGAATGCTCGTATTTATTGATCCGCAGGCGATCCTTGAAATTGTTAAACAGCTATTCATTACACGACATTCGTAAAATTGTCTTTATTATCGTTTCTTTACGTTCTTATTCTTATAGACTTCGTAATTAAAATTTTGTACTCATTATTCGATAATGATTGGCAAACATCGATTATGTGAAGCCATTCAAGTGCTTGGTGGCGCGAATTATTAAAGACAGAGATGCCGGATTAAACTATAACAACCTTAAAATATCACAGACCCGACCTTTGCGCGCGCTTAACTCGAGTCTTGCCACGTCCGACTCATAAATCGCATTTTCCGCGGCATTTCGAGCAGCGAACGGTATCCTTCGTCACTGATTAGAAAACTTCACGCTTCGCCGTTGCGCTCCGGCCGAGCCATTCGCCCGGAGCCGTATTTGATTTGGCTTTAATGCGATTTTTCGCGGTAACAGCCGCGATTCGTAACTACTCCCGGCAACAGCTCCGCGATCCAAAGAGAGCGAAGAAACGGATGGCGCGGCGCGCCGAACTCGATTATCCTGCCGTCCTTTTTCACCCACTGACGAAGAAGAAGCCGCTATTCTGTTAGCTTGTTCCGGTCTGAACTTCGATTAATCCTTTTAACGATAAAAGCACCTTCGATTTTAGTGCCGCACGAGCCGGTACCGGTTCGTATAATAAAATATCGCCAGAATTGACGCAAATTTCTGGCTTAATAATAATGCTTAGCAAAATTGATGGTAGTTGTAAATTCTATTTATTTTTAGGAGAAATTAAACTTTGATTTGTTGTTGTTAAAAGCACAGATTTGGCAGATTATATTTAATAGGAATGACATAAGTCACGATAAGACCGATGTGACGTTATCCGGAGAAACGCCGTTAAAATTGACGTTTCATGACAGCGCAATCAATCACGATCGCTCTTTCTCTATCATACTATCGTGCTTGCTCATGTATTTATACGGATTTCTGAAAGTCTTAGGAAGTCATTCACATATTTCCACGTGTTACTTCCACGTAAAGAACCATTTTTTTATGTTTATGGGTATAAATTAGTAGAAGTTAGAAGGTATTTCAATGGTTCTTTAATATCTGTCACTTGTAAATTTTCTAAAATTAATTTTTTTTTTATAACGATAATTGTCGCAAAAAGAGGGGTTTGGTACTACATAAAGTTAAATCATGTGCTCAATTATCAGCTTCTTGATGAAATTTTATTTGATCTTTGGTTAATAATAATACTTCAATTTATTCAGTTCTACAACGTAACGGCCTTCTATATCGGTCTTCGGGTATTGCGAAAGTTAATAACAAGGTCACGATGACGGTCGACGTGCACTCGCGTCTTCGGTATTATTCTGGCAACTTCATGAATGCGAAAGGGAAAGAGAACTTACGCTCTGATAACGTTCAACTCAGTCGACAGCGGGTTATCGCGGGGCGATATCTACGGTGGCTCGGGAGCGGGGAGGGGGAACTTGACTGTGCTCGAAATGAGCGGACACCCCGTGGCAGCGCAATCGATCGTGCTCTTCCTTCGAGCGGAACTCGCGTTCTCCGCGACGCGAGATAACGTGCAATCGCGATGCGTGAGAGCGTGCCATGTATATCGATCTCTCTCTCGAGGAAGTTCCTCCATTCATATACGCCGCGCGATATCGCCGCGTATATTTCGAATCGAGAAAGAGGGAGGGGCTCGCCTCCTTCCCGACAACGATCACGATTCTAATCTTTTTTACGCCTCCCGCTCGATTTCCCGTCGTCCTTTATCGCTTCTCAGCGTCGACGGGGAAAATCTACATGCGCGTATACTTACACACGAAACACTCGCACACACGACACGCTCCACGCTCTTCCTGTCTTCCACGTTTCCTCTTACATGTCCCCTTCCTGTCAACTTTGTTTAATTTCTGTTTTTTTTCGTACACGCACCTCTCAATACAAGCAAGAGTCTTTAATGATATGACGATGACCGTGATATGACATGATACGATATGATATGATATGATGAGATGATTAATGTGACCATGACCATGATTTCTTACCATGATTTTTATATTTACTTATTTGTTGCACGTTGTTTGGTGCGTCTCCGTAAGCAGTATGAGGCGCTCGCAGACCCCCTGGTCGTCGACATTTCGAAAAAGTGCCCCTAATTCCCTGAAATAATAAAGAACTTGACGTGCGAATGTCGCCGCGATTCCTTCGACATTCTAAAATTGACTCTCAACCCTTTCAAGCCCTTGGCCCGAAAAAGTAAGAACCTCGTTCTTCAACATCTCGTCGTCAATTGCAATTTTCATTAAGATCGAGACATCAACGTTACACAGATCGTTAATCAGTACATTAATTCATTAATTTATATACGCATAATTTTATCAAGATCCAGGCAACTATATGTTATTACGCGATTGAACGTTTCAAATACTTTTATGTGACATTTAACTTGTTAGTGATTGCTGATTAAGTCTCTAAAGTCGATTTGATTTTCTTTCGGTCATTTTATACCAGAAACTCTCGATTTTTGTTTCTGGACAACATTAAACGCGCGGGTTCTTAGAGTTTTGTCTTGAAACTCCGAAATAATGAGGCGCGGATTACAGGATATGAATAAAAGGATGGATAGTTCTTCGTTTTAGCTTTTGCGAATAAAAGGAGCGCGAGATCGACGGGAAATAACAAAAAACGGAATACCCACGAAAGCCTCTCTGTCGCTTCGTCGCGTCTCGAGGGAGCCTCGGGAATTAATTAGCGTGTCTCGCGCGATACATAAAACGGTCGGAGAGGGAGACGACTATTGTGCGTCAAAGAAATAAATAGGACTGACTCGGAAGAGGAACGCCGGTAGGGCTGAGGGTGATGGAAGGGTTCAAAGAGGAAGAGAGGAGCACAAAAGAGCTGGCCGGTGTTGCCCGCGGCGAAACGGAAGAATCGAGTTTTCTGCGTCTTTCGCCTAGTCCTCAATGAGAACGGGATCGATCTTCTACTCGATACTCCGTTTTCACGACGATACGCGTCTCGAAAATTCACTCGGAGATCGGAAAGAGAAACTAAATGGTCAAGAAGAAATATCTCGCATAATTCACAGTTAAACGCGACGAATCTATACATATTTGTATCTTTTGACGTGACAATACGGATCTCTAATTTGAATTTTTTTGCATTAATTTCAAGAAAAATTCTCAGAACTTTGATAAATGTAATACCACAGTAAAATATAATGAAATCGACGGTAACGCGCGCGCCGCGCTCTTTACCACATTAAACGAATGAAATCGTCGTAGCGCGAGAGACGGGGGCTGCTTTTTTTCACATCCCCGACGTCGCGTTCCGACGATTCTCTTCGTAGAATCCCCCATACATATGTGCACCCTTTCCCGTCCCTCGCCTTCGCCCCTACCCCCTCTAGTGTGTACATATATTATATGTACGTAAATGAGTATATATATACGCGCGCGCGTGCTACATGTGCACACGCGTGCGAAGACGAAATGTCGGCCCAGCCAGTCGGCTTTTTGCGGAGCGCTGGCAGTCTGTAAGTTGAGTTTAATGCATGTTGTTTTGTCTGTCCTTGCATGCAGGGATTCGGTTTTGTAACATTCGCAAATAGTGCTGACGCGGACCGGGCACGTGAGAGGCTACACGGCACCGTGGTTGAGGGCAGAAAGATTGAGGTGTGCATGAACTTTCTTATACTTATATATATATATATATATATCTATATATATATATATACATACATATATATATACATCGCCATTAATCTCCATTACGAATAGATGTAATCTTTTTTCTTTCAGGAAAGTCCCGAGTGGGCGCATTCCTCTTCGGAATGCGCGCACTCGTGATGTGAAACGGCGACCACGATGTAAAGCTCGACTCATTCGATTACGCGACGGATTCATAAATCCATCTCTCTAAGTACACGTTTCCGTGATTTTACGTCGAGTAACAGTGGTCGCCTGATAGCCTTAAGTCGTGCACTTCCGAGTCCCGAGTGTTCATCTTCTGCGTCCATTGCGACTATAATATTCATAGGCAAATTAATTGGTCATTAACGATAAGCGAAGGATCATTGTTAATCCTGATGTCGATGAAATATCTCTATTTATTGCGAACGCTATTTGCATTCTGGAACATAATAATATTGATGTCGAAGAGAGATGGACATTCGCGACGCGAAGGCCGTTGATCTAATTGTAAGAGACTAGAATAAATCGCTATGCGATCGAAAGAGACGTCAGGCTGACGACGCAATCGTAGACGCGACCGTTTTACGAGATACGGCTACGATTTGAGCTATCGACAGTCTACATCGCGATTCGACGGAGCGTTCTTTAAAAAGAAAAAGGGATAGTTAACTATATCGCGATAATTAACAAGACGTGAGTTAATTTCACGGGCTCGAGAACGGATAGAGGTAGAGAAAGAAAGAGAGAGGGAGAGGAGAGGAGGACAGAGAGGACGATCTCGGATCGCAGGGGCTCGAGAGAAAGAGATTTCTCTCGTGGCCTGGATCAATCTGACTGATGGCCACTCGTGGATCCACGAGTGGCACGCGAGCCGCCGATTGGCGAGGCTCGATATCTGCTCGAGGGTCTCGAGTGATCCACAAATTCTCTTTCCCGATTGGTCGGCCACTCCGTCGGTGAAAATCGGTACGCGGGAGAAAGTCCTCCTCGTCTCGATCAAACGCGCGATGACCCGTTCGCCGGATGGATTTTGCTCATATTGTATTCGCGTATTTATTCGCCTTTTCTCCTTTTTTTTTCTCTTCTCTCTCGTTGTTTCTCTGTTGCGGTATGGCCTTAATCCATTCAGTTGCACACGTGCGCTCATGCGAGAAATCGTATATAATTTCACCTTTTATCAGTGTGTCTCGAGCTCAGAGATTATCTTTGCGTCGTCGAAGTAACTGTAAATCCCGTACGGTAGTTGATTTTGATAAGCACCGTCGGATCGACCGAAGGTAAACGAGGCGATCGGATATGGCAACAATTTTGTCAAAATAATACTTCAAATTTTCATACTACTTTATATGTATGACATACTACATCCATATAAAGTAGAAATATATCGTAATAACATAAACAATTTTATAAATTAATAAATAACTCCGTAAATTTAAATCGATAAATCAATTGGTTGACAATTGTATTCATTCGCTTTCTTCATTTTGATTACATTCTTTTCACACAGACATGTCATGCAGAATTCTGAACTATAAAATATATATAATTAACGACTAATAGTAATAGCTATCTACGTGCAGTAAAATAATTTCGTTCTTGCTGAAAATCTTCAGATATTTTAGTAATACGGTAATAGGGTTTTTTATTGTCGCGTGCAGTTTTTATAGCTCTCGGCCGACCACGCGACGACCGCAGCACCTACTGCGTTGATGCTGATATGAAACAATAACGGTTCAACCTAATTGGACAACTCGATTAATTATCTTCTCATGGTGGCTGGAGCAGCTTGTCGGGCTCGTACGCATCGCGTAAACCAACGCTTTAGCTTCATTTAGCTAGCAACCGCGTCTTCGAAATATATCGTTTAATATTATGCAAATGCGCGCAAACGGAGGAAATCTTTCGATTATATATTTTACGTGAAAATCTATTTACTTCACTGCACCGATAATTCATTCTATAAAACTTGGTATAGCTGACGAGAAGATTCATTGCTATTTTTTTTTTTACATTCGAGATTACTGTCAAAGAAATCGCATCCGATAAGATAGCGCGTCTTCTTCCGTCGTCATTATATTGCTTTTTGGACGTAATAGGATTATATTCTTGAATCACGGCCAGTGATTACTCCTTCGGATCCTTCGGATTTTTTCCGGTTCGATAATACCGTCCGTTTGATCAGGCAGGCCGTCTTATTGCGACTTTAATGGCTCAATTAAAGCTTGAAAGCCCGACGTTTCTGCGACTCGTCGATTTACTGCACCAATGGAATTCTATGGCTCGCGATAGTTTTATAAAATTACGCGAATTTTCAAACGGGAATTTCACGAGACGAATATATATCTTTAAGTCTAAAATGTCACAGATTTCGAAAACCGTATGACAGAAGTTGTTGCCGATCTTTCCGCCTCGAGAATCTTGGTAATACTCAAAGCGAATAAAAAGAGACGCATCAGGGTTGCTTGCCAGCGCGGATTCAGAACTGTCACATCAAGCTGTCATATTTTAAGCGCCAGCTACAAATCCGCGCTGTTAGTACCATCATCCCTGTTGTAAGATCAGTCTTGTTAAACGAGAAAAGGAAAGATCCGCGTTGGCGGCACCCCGGATGCAAAGTGAACGAAGTTGAAGGGGTGGACGCGCTCGAAACAACGCGATAGTCGTCGAACGACGAGTAAACGAACCGCATACAAAGGAGCTGGAAAATCCGCTGGTTGGATAATCCGGCTGTTGTGTTGGGTTCGGTTACCATGGGAAAAGAGAGTAACCAAAAGCACAAAAGCGGTACAAAACGAAAGACAATTGTAAAATACGGTCGTGTCTCACGCAGATCTCCTGTTGTTCTATAGAGAGCTTCTGCGCGAGAGAAAGAGCGAGTAAAACGGTAGAAAAGAGCGAGCGAAAGACTCGCGTACTGAATAGTCGATTGAAAAATCTGAGAGAGCGAGCGAAAGAGAAAGAAAGAAAGAGAACAGATGGTCGATGCGATAGGATCGATCGATCGGGCAAACGCTGATCGTGGGACACTGAGGGGGCCACTGAAAAAGGACCTCGCTAAGTGTCCGAAAAGGTAAGGAAATCCATCGCAGCGGAAATCGTTTACCGGCAAAGCAACGACCGGACTCATATGTGTATGATAAAAAATTACAACTCGCACTGCCCGCTCTCTCACGTGATACACGAGAACCGTGCCATGGTCGATTTTCACTGGTAGATTAAGCTTTTTGTTTTTTTTCCCCCTTATTTTCTTTTCGATTACTTTTTCACACTCGTTTTGCATTTTAGCATATGTGAATGAAATTTTTAACGGCTTTTTTGTCAGACCTTTATCGGAGTGTACTCCTACACTCCGTAGTGACGAAGTATTCATTTCAAAAAAGAAAATAGAAGAATTGTTTGGACAAGAGTTACACAATTTTTATTAAATTGTGTTTCTGCAGCACAAAGAGATATTTTAAAATTTGAAAGCAGAACGCAATTGTTGTAAATACTTCGTCATTCGAATTTTATTTCTTAATCGTCAATTTTTTTATTTACAAAGAGTTTTTTTTATCTTTTTCGACCGGCACACGCGTAGCGCTTTTTCCTAAAAATATAAAATCCTACTTGCGATATTTATGATGTAACTAATAAACATATAATACGTTTAGAGTATATAATACTAGCGTAAACTGTGTAGATGTGTAAGGATGTAGAACTCACCAAAACAAACGCTCAAGTACTTTCGCAAGTGGCAATCGAGACAATCGGAAAACATCGCGCTAATTACACGTTATAATGGCGCAATAATGACGTTTCTTCCGCGAGCAATTTGCATTTTATTTGTACCTTACGATCGAGTTTTTCGTGAAGAGAAAACTATGCAGGTACGAAAGATCCTTGCACCGTTGCCAATTAAAACGCGAGAGTGGTTTTAAAACGATTATATCTTGTACGTCATCACTCTTGTGTGACGTTTGACCCGTTTCACTCGAGCGCTAAGCACTCAGGCCCTTTGTTGAATTTTCTAAGAGCCGTCGTAGAGCAAGAGGTTAAAAAAGAGGCGTGGACGCTGAAACGCCAGGAATAACGAGATGGCAGGGAATAGTAAAAAGAACGAGCTCTAACGAGAATTCTTTTACGCGTAATTTTCTCACGAACGTGGCGTAGCACTTTAATTGCGGAAAAGATTAGGGAGCGATCTTAAATTAGAGACCGCGCCTTTTTTCCGGTTTTTCACATTAATTTCAAGCCAGCGGAGTTCCAAAAAGATACGGAATAAAAATTCCGCGACGTCCGGCAGAAATTTCTCCGAAATTCACGGGGGGACCGATGTATTTATTGTAACAATTTGCGAGAGGAGGAGGGCAGAGAGATTTAAGGGGACGCACAATTAGCCTTTTGCAAATCTCTCGCAACGTCCCTTGAGGGAGAACGGCACTTTATTAGTTAATCTCCTCTGAGAGACTTTTTAATTGCCGACGCAACTTTTTAATGTCCGGATCTCTCTCAAGCTTTAAATAATTTCGGACACTAATTCGATTCAGCGACTTTAGAAATTAGACCCCCGAGTGAAACGGAAGTTCCAATATCGAGCGTTGATTGCATCGATTAGATGTGCGATTTCGCGTTTTTTTCGCTATAATAAGCGTAATTTAGCGGAGATTGCTTTTTTACGGATCAGCAAGCGGCAGCGCGCTACGCATATTCGCATTTAACGCACAATTTAACGCGCTCTTCGACGAGCAGGAGACGAACTGGTGAAATTTAGCGTCGTTTATCGATGTATTTATTCGCGGCGTTCATCATTGATGCATTCTTATAAAATCGACGGAAAACGTCAAAGTGCCGAAATACAAGGAAAATTAATCGAAGAAATTTATGAATATAGAAATTTTAGATACGGGAGAAATTTATTATACGTACATTATTATCGGTATAATACACCCACGTCTAATACCAAGTGTCTACGATAATGATAATAAATATTAACGAACACTAAT